TAGGTATGTCCCTTCACAGTCTATCTGCTCTGCCGTAACCTCCTGTCCGTTGTTCACACCCGAATGGCCAACTCACACATGCAGGACTTCTCGCGGGCAGCTTCCTTCCTATGGAATAGCCTGCCTACCCCCATCAGACTCTCCCCTAGTCTTCAATCATTTAAGAAGTGCTGTGTGACGAGACCAATCTCGCCACATTGCATTGGAGAAGCCTGGTTGCTCGCCTGCTGCCTTTGGACTATGGCCCCCTTTTAAAAGACTTTATTTTTGCCTGCAGAAAAGCTGTATTCGTGCTTTTCTGCCTGGGGTTCAGTAGATTTGTTTGAATGTGTTATACCCCAGATAGGAATCCCATGGAGCCCATTCGTATGAAACTGACTGTAAAGACTTTAGCTCCATGGCGATTAAACTGTATTCGTGTGGTCTGAGCGCCATTCACTTAATAATGTGCGCTCGGACCTGAGCTATCTGGGGATATGTTACATGTCTGTGTTTTATGTAATAAATGTGACTTTATGTATTTTAAAGTGTTTTGTGTCTCTTTGCAACCATGTGCTTAATGGAGTCTTGTGTCTGTCCTGGGAGATAATTGAATTACTTATCTCCAGGATAGAAGACTCTGAAACTGGTTTGGGCCAGAAAGCCATGCTTCATTTAGTCACAAAGGACTTTTTACTAACTTTTGAACCCCTTGTCTGATTTGTGCCATTTTTGAATATGTTGTTCCCCTGAATGGATTGATTGTGCATATGTAATTTTATGTGAATGTGATGTATGGTTTTAGAGTTATGAAAGTTGGGTAGAAAGTATGTTTTAACTGTATGTATAATTGAGTTTCCTCTCAGGATAAGGGGAGGGAATATGTGGGATGTAACTGTGATGTGATTGGTTGTTTTATACCTCCCTGTGGGCGGTCCTGTATTTGCAAGACTGTAATAAAAACCAGGCTGGGTGTGCCAGCACCTCAGACCACTGCTTGACCCTCAACACGGAGCCTTGTCTCGTTCTTGGGGGGGATTCACTGTATGCTGTTAGAGACCGATTGCCAGGAGTGTAAGCTGATTGTCTGCTTTTCCTGTTCCTCTGCTAGCAGCTATTTGGGAGGTTCCAGTTCGGGAGTTGGAGTGCTATTTTGTATCCAGTTCGTGAGTTTTGGTGTTCTGCAGTAGCTGTGCCTGTATCTCTGGAAAGGGGGCCGATCGCCTAAACGGTTTTTACCCCTTGTGTGTAAAACGGTCCGTTACATGCTGTAAAACCCATTTCTTTAGGAAAGCTTATGGCCTCCCAGAGTAACCTCTACCTTACCTTGCTCTGTCCTAAAGGGCAACACTCTACTCTCTCCTCCAGCTTTGCTTTACTCCCACCTTGTTTAACTGCAATTTCCTGTCCTATTGTGTTTTATACCCCACCTCCTATAGACTGTAAGCTCGTTTGGGCAGGGTCCTCTTCAACCTATCGTTCCTGTAAGTTTTCTTGTAATTGTCCTATTTATAGTTAAATCCCCCTGTGGCGAAACCGGCCTCGCCACGTGTCCTTGGAGGGGGCTGCTTGCCCGCCTCTTGCCTTTGGACTATGGACCAGACTTTATGTGAAGTTATTAACCCAGATAGCTATGCCATGGAGCCCATTCGTGTAGTTAAAGACTTCGGCTCCATGGAAATTGAACTGTGTGAATAGGATCTGAGCGCTATTCGGTAGTTTTGTGCGCTCAGATCCCAGCTATCTGGGGATATGTGAAATGTCTGTGTGTTATGTGTAAATGTGACTTTATGTATTTTAAAGTGTTTTGTGTCTTTTTGCAACCATGTGCTTAATGGAGTCTTGTGTCTGTCCTGGGAGATAATTGAATTACTCTCCAGGATAGAAGACTCTGAAACTGGTTTGGGCCGGAAAGCCATGCTTCATTTAGTCACAAAGGACTTTCCCTTAACTTTTGAACCCCTGGTCTGATTCGTGCCATTTTTTAATATGTTGTTCCCCTGAATGGATTGATTATGAAAATGTATGTTTTATGTTTGTGACATGTATATTTTAGAAGTTAGAAATATTGTGTAAAAACTGTATTCCTCTGCCGGTGATAATTAGATTACCCATTGTGTTCAGTAATCACACATGCAGAGGGGAGGATTTTGTGTGGGAGTGTCTGGGTGTATTGTACGGATTGATTGGTTGTTGTAACGCCCTGTGGGCTGTACTATGTTTGTGGATTGGGAATAAAAGAGACTGTATGTGACAGTACAGGGAGTTCCTGCTTAACCCTCAAAGTGAAGTGTCGTCTCATTATTGGGGGAAGGATTTATTGTATGCTGTTCCAGTTTGACTGCTAGAAGAGTAAACCTATTCGTATGGTTCCTATTCAACTGTCTACAGCATTCAAATGCTTGGGAGAATTTATTTGTTTCTCCGGTTCGGTGATTGTGGTGTCTGCCAGAGTGCTTGGAGTCCTCAGGAAGCGCTAGGAGCATCCTTCAACGGAGGTACCCAGTCGGGGTGCCAGGTGATCCGTTACATTGGTGGCAAGCGGTGGGATGGCGTCCTAGTGCGAGGTAAAGCAGCTCAGAGACACAGTTCATGGAGTTACAAATTGAAGGCGACGCTAGTGTTTATACAGCGTCCCTGTCTACATAAAGATTTGGGAAAATGGGGTTCGTGGATCCTTGGGCAACACGCACACCTGAGGAAGAGAGTGAATTGGAATGGAGAGATATTGCCCGGCAAGAACTATGGTACGATGCCCTGGAGGAAGTCCAGTATCAACGGCAGCAGCGCCTTCCTGGTGTCGCATATCGGTTGGAGGAACAAATGGCCTGGCGGATGCCGCTTCTGGGAGACCAACCCGGAGGGCAGCAGGTCAGACAACTTGAGTACCTCGTGGAAAGGGAACTGAGCCTTGACGCCTCACACTGGGCACTGTGGTGGTGCACTGTCCAGCCAGAGACGTGGAGGGCAAAGGGCATCCAGCCGGAGGGGGAGAACTACACTAGCCCTGGCCTGTTGTGGAAGGCCTTAGCAGAAGACGTTGACTTTGGCAGTCCAGCAGAGTCACGGTACTGGGCTATCTTTTATTACCGGGGTGAGATGGTACAGGGCCCGAGATCTATGGGACTGGGGCAAGACCTCCACCGTTTGGCTGCCATGGAACGACAGCTAGAGATGGACTATGTGGAACTTCTGAACTCATGTCAGCCGCAGAGCATAGACGCAGAACAGGAAAACTGGGTGGCGGACCCAGACCTGCCAACCTACAGCTGGGAAAACGCAGCCGAGGTCCCAACTGCTTCACTACCAGTTGCAGAAGTAGGGGACCTCATAGACTGGTCCTGGGAAGACCCACCGATGGCAGGTAGAGATGGGACGGCTGTCTCTCTACCGGCCCTACAGGGATGCTGGGCAGTCGGCCCAGATCCCCAGCGGCAGTATGTATCCCAGGGAGTTGAAGGTGCCGTCCTTCCTCCCCAGCGGCAGTGTATATCCCAGGGAGTTGAAGGTGCAGTCCTTCCTTCCCAGCAGCAGTGTGTATCCCAGGGAGCTGAAGGTGCAGTCCTTCCTCCCCAGCGGCAGTGTGTACCCCAGGGAGCTGAAGGTGCAGTCCTTCCTCCCCAGCGGCAGAGTGTCCTCCAGGAAGCCGAGACCGTCTGTCTCGCACCCCAGCCGCAGGACAAAATATTGAAAGGGGAGACAGTTGGTCCCCCTCTCCACCAGCAAAGAGAGTGTCAGGGAGAGGAGCCTGATACCCCCTCTCCCCAGCGGCAGTCTACAGTTCAGAGAGAGGAGCTTGTTACACCCTCTCTCCAGCGGCAGCCTAACCCACCAAGGGGAGATGTTGAGCCCCACAACTATGCAGATGGGACCGTAGTCTCTGCACTTGCAGCACCAGGGGTAGGGACGGTCGGTCCTGTCCCCCAGCCACAGAGCAGTGTATCCAGAGGGGAGACAGTCGGTCTCCCCCTCCCACAACCAGGCTCCAAACAGGCTACTTCAGTGGTAGCGCTGGCACCCGGGCAGAGTACCGCTGGTCTCTGCCCACTCAGCAACCCACCAAGGCAGTCTACCAGCCCCCTGCACAGCCGTGGTGAGGCACCTGGACATGGACAAGTTGCTATTTTATCCAGGTGTAGTAACCAGTTATTATGGGTGGGCTGTATTGCTGTTTGTGCTTCGTGGGTGGGTTGCTGGACTAACCAGGGCACTGACCGGCAGGAGGTCAGATACCCTGTTAGTCTGAATGGTAAAGGGGAGAAATGTGGCGAAACCGGCCTCGCCACGTGTCCTTGGAGGGGGCTGCTTGCCCGCCTCTTGCCTTTGGACTATGGACCAGACTTTATGTGAAGTTATTAACCCAGATAGCTATGCCATGGAGCCCATTCGTGTAGTTAAAGACTTCGGCTCCCTGGCAATTGAACTGTGTGAATAGGATCTGAGCGCTATTCGGTAGTTTTGTGCGCTCAGATCCCAGCTATCTGGGGATATGTGAAATGTCTGTGTGTTATGTGTAAAAAGTGACTTTATGTATTTTAAAGTGTTTTGTGTCTTTTGCAACCATGTGCTTAATGGAGTCTTGTGTCTGTCCTGGGAGATAATTGAATTACTTATCTCCAGGATAGAAGACTCTGAAACTGGTTTAGGCCAGAAAGCCATGCTTCATTTAGTCACAAAGGACTTTTTACTAACTTTTGAACCCCTTGTCTGATTTGTGCCATTTTTGAATATGTTGTTCCCCTGAATGGATTGATTATGAAAATGTATGTTTTATGTTTGTGACATGTATATTTTAGAAGTTAGAAATATTGTGTAAAAACTGTATTCCTCTGCCGGTGATAATTAGATTACCCATTGTGTTCAGTAATCATATCACATGCAGAGGGGAGGATTTTGTGTGGGAGTGTCTGGGTGTATTGTACGGATTGATTGGTTGTTTTATAACGCCCTGTGGGCTGTACTATGTTTGTGGATTGGGAATAAGAGACTGTATGTGACAGTACAGGGAGTTCCTGCTTAACCCTCAAAGTGAAGTGTCGTCTCATTATTGGGGGAAGGATTTATTGTATGCTGTTCCAGTTTGACTGCCAGGAGAGTAAACCTATTCGTATGGTTCCTATTCAACTGTCTACAGCATTCATATGCTTGAGAGGATTCATATGCTTCTCCGGTTCGGTGGTTGTGGTGTCTGCTGCAGTGCTTGGAGTCCTCAGGAAGCGCTAGGAGCATCCTTTAACGGAGGTACCCAGTCGGGGTGCCAGGTGATCCGTTACACCCCCCTCTTATAATATTGTAAAGCGCTACGGAATCTGTTAGCGCTATATAAATGGCAAAAATAATAATATAAATCTAATCAACTATAATATGCATAGTTAATGTAGCTGATTTACTCCTTTAAAGAGATTCTGCAATATTTTACTCACCAGAAACAAAACCCTTTATTTGAATTGTTATAAAAAATATACAATGACTGATTGTGACGGATCGCCTGGCAACCCGACTGGGTACCTCCGCCAATCGATGCTCCTAGTGCTCACTGAGGACTCCAAGCACTCAACCAGACACCATCAGCACCGTAGACCCCACGAACTGCCGCAGCTTGGTATATCCCGCTGCCGCTGGGGAGAGTGACCAGCCGTCTCCTCTCCCTGTAATGCATACTGCCGCTGGGGAGAGTGACCGGCCGTCTCCTCTCCCGGTAACACTCTACCGCTGGGGAGTGAGACTGACCATCTCCACTCCCTGTAACTCACCCTGCCGCTGGGGATGGAGGACCATACTCTCCTCTCTCTGTAACTCTGTCTGCCGCTGGGGAGAAAGACCGACTGTCTCCTCTCCCAATAACACACTCTACTGCTGGGGAGGAAGGACGACACCCTCCGCTCCCTGTACTGCACACCGCTGCTGGGGTGTGAGACCGATTGTCTCCACTCCCTGTAGGATACACTGCCGCTGGGGAGAGAGACCAACCGTCTCTTCTCCCAATATCATACTCTGCTGCTGGGGAGTAGGACCGACTGTCCCCACTCCTGGTAACTCCGGCTGTAGCTGGGGATCTGGTCCGGCTGCCCAGCATCCCTGTATGGCCGGAGGAAAGACCTTAGTCCCATCTCCACCTGCCGTCTGGAAGTCTTCCCTGGACTAGTTGTCTCCTCTCCCTGTGGGTACAGCCGCTGGGAAGAAAGACTAACATCCTCTGACGTCCATTAAATCTGCGGGCGCATCCTCCCAGATCAGTTGCACCACCTCTGCCGAAGGGCCGCTGCAAACCTCTTTTTGCTGGAGACCTCCTCCCCTCGTTTTAGCCATCAGGAACACATAGTCTCTCCTGGCTTGTATCTCGACGGTTACCTGGTTCCATCGACACATTAGAGCCATACCTGGCCAGTCGCTGCTGCACCTCGAACAGAAACTCTGAGGAAGAGTCAGAGGATGCCATGCTGGCCTGCTCCAAGACTGTGGGCACCTATGCTTCCAGGGGTGCTGCACGAATGCTAGCGTTGTCCTTAATTATAAATCCACAAACAGTGTCTCCAGGGTGCTTCTCCTCTCACTAGGAAGCCATCCCACCGCTGCCACCAAATGTGACAGACCGCCAATCAAGTGCTCACCGAGGACTCCAAGCACTCCACCAGACACCACCAGCACCGTAGACCCCACAAACTGCCGCAGCTTGGTTGGGGTCTCGCCGTCCTTCACCCACCCAGGACCCAATACCAGGATCCAGCTTCCAGTGGGTGAACCTCTCCTACTCCAGAGAGTATAGCAGGAACAGCTCTTATAAGAACTAGTGATTAGAACCCAGGGGAGTATAAGGAGTATAGCAATCACCAGAGTGAATATAGCTGTACCCTCCACACATGAGATGAGGCTCTATGTTGAGGGTGAAGAGGAACTGATTTTAATGGTGCAAAACTTGGCCTTATATGACATTCCAAATGCAAGAGGTACGCCCACATGGACCTGATGGTAGACTGATTTACAACGTCACAGACCGATAACATTAAGGTTACAAGGCACAACACTCCCACACACAGCACACACTCCCTCCCCTCTCCCTGGGAGATACTATATTAACTCAATTATCTCCAGGCAGAAAAAACCCACATATTATAAAGTCCCTAAAAGTACCCCAAAAACACAGAATATCCCCGCAAATGTTACATCCCCTGATAGCCCTGATCTGGGTGACCAAATCACCCAGATCAGTTCAGGGGTTCAGGAATTCTATGGAAGTCATTTATTTGACCAACCGCAGGCATGCCCAAAACAGTTCCAAAGAATCAGGGCCTGTGGTCGGTCCAGTTCGGTAATTTGAAAACGAACAAACGAACAAACAGAGTCAATAGTCTTACCCTAGTGTTTGTATCCCTCATCCAGACGAATGATTTCACCGAACAGTGCCTTCTAAGTTGTATAGAATCAAATGCAGGCGATGATGGAAGTCCAGCGGTGTTCGGGAGTTTCTGTATCCGATTTCGGGTGATTCATGCCCACACACCACTGCCTGCATTCATGCGAACAAGATGGCCGCCACCTCGTGGTAGTCCATAGGAATTGCAGCCACCCAGAAGAACAATTACAACACTGCAGTGAGGAACGTTCCAAGTTGTTAATAGGTGTTAACAATCTCCAGGGTGGTCTCTGGTTCGTGTGGTTGTTCGGGAATTTGGAGTGCAGCTTTGAGAGTTCGAAGTGTAGCCATACAAGTCCAAAAAGGCACAAACAGTATTTTTAATCAAAGTCTGTAATAGAGGCATAGTCACAGGACAGGAGGCTGGCAAACAGGCTCCTCCAAAAGCCAGTGGTGAGGTTACTTTCGCCACACATATTATTATTGAATCTGTGTATATGTTACGATGACACTCACCTGGGGGTCCCTTGCAGCGTCTCCATCCGCTGCTGATGCGGGTTCTCCTCAGCACATGCCAGGGACTCAGGCATAATCAACTACAGGGATGTTGGCTACTCATAGATGCTTCAGTGTAGCACATAGAGTGGAGCCCTAAGAGAGCCCTCGGTCAGTGTGAAGCACATAGCGTGGAGCCCTAAGTGAGCCCTTGGTCAGTGTGAAGTACATAGCATGGAGACCTAAGTCAGTGTGAAGCACATAGCGTGGAGCCCTCGGTCAGTATGAAGCACATAGCGTGGAGCCCTAAGAGAGCCCTCGGTCAGTATGAAGCACATAGCATGGAGCCCTAAGTGAGCCCTTGCTCAGTGTGAAGCACATAGCATGGAGCCCTAAGTGAGCCCTCGGTCAGTGTGAAGCACATAGCGTGGAGCCCTAAGAGAGCCCTCGGTCAGTGTGAAGCACATAGCGTGGAGCCCTAAGAGAGCCCTCGGTCAGTATGAAGCACATAGCGTGGAGCCCTAAGAGAGCCCTCGGTCAGTGTGAAGCACATAGCGTGGAGCCCTAAGAGAGCCCTCGGTCAGTATGAAGCACATAGCGTGGAGCCCTAAGAGAGCCCTCGGTCAGTGTGAAGCACATAGCGTGGAGCCCTAAGTGAGTCCTCTGTCAATGTGAAGCACATAGCGTGGAGCCCTAAGTTAGTGTGAAGCACACCTTTATCCCCGCGGCACGCACTATGTGCCTCCCTACATGGGCAGGTGAGGGAGATCAAAGATCCACAACCCATGGCATGCCACAACCCACAACCCTTGGCATGCCAACCCACAGGCAGGGAGGGAGGCAGGAGAGGACCCAGGGAGCTCTTGTCAGTAGCTCCGCTGGGTTCCTCTTGCGCGGTCAGAGCATTGCCGCGGTTACGGCGGCAACGCTCAGATCCCGCGAGAGTGAACTCTAGCCTCACAGGGGGCTAGAGTTCACTCTCCACTGGACCACCAGGATCACGGTCCCCCCTCCCTACATAAGGTAAGAAGGGAGGGGGAATATTAACTAAACGGCCCCCACACATTACACACAAACATACATCACCCTTACACACACTAACAGCACCCTCACACACACATTGCACACACTAACAACACCCTTACACACACACACTAACAGCACCCTCACACTAACAACACCCTTACACACACAGCCCCCTCACACATACCTGCACACACTAACATCACCCTCACACACACAAAGCACACACTAACAACACCCTTACACACACAGCACCCTCACACATACACGCACACACTAACAGCACCCTCACACACACAAAGCACACACTAACAGCGCCCTTACACATACACACACAAAGCACACACTAACAGCACCCTCACACTAACAACACCCTTACACACACAGCACCCTCACACATACACGCACACACTAACAGCACCCTCACACACAGCGCACACACTAACAGCACCCTTGCACACACTAAAAGCACCCTTACACACAGAGCACCCTCACACACACAGCAGTGAAACCGACCTCGCCACGTGTCCTTGGAGGGGGCTGCTTGCCCGCCTCTTGCCTTTGGACTATGGACCAGACTTTATGTGAATGTGTTAACCCAGATAGCTATGCCATGGAGCCCATTCGTGTAAAGATTTCGGCTCCATGGCAATTGAACTGTGCAATTGAACTGTGTGAATAGGATCTGAGCGCTATCCCCAGATAGCTCAGATCCCGGCTATCTGGGGATATGTGAAATGTCTGTGTGTTATGTGTAAAAGGTGACTTTATGTATTTTAAAGTGTTTTATGTCTTTTTGCAACCATGTGCTCAATGGAGTCTGCCTCTATCCCTGGATAATTGGATTACTTTCCCCATTGTCTCCAGGATAGAGGGCTCTGTAAAACCTGTTTGAGCCAGATAGCCATGTGCCAGCCAGGGCCCAAAAGATACTTTTACTAACTTTTGAACCCCTGGTCTCATGCCATTTTTTATTATGTTGTTCCCCTGAATGGATTGATTGTGAATATGTAATTTTATGTGAATGTGATGTATGGTTTTAAAGTTATGAAAGTTGGGTAGAAAGTATGTTTTAACTGTATGTGTAATTGAGTTTCCTCTCAGGATAAGGGGAGGGAATATGTGGGATGTAACTGATATGTGATTGGTTGTTTTATACCTCCCTGTGGGCGGTCCTGTATGTGAAAGGCTGTAATAAAAACCAGGCTGGGTGTGCCAGCACAGCAGTTCCTGTTTTAACCCTCAAAGTGAAGTGTCGTCTCATTATTGGTGGAAGGATTTATTGTATGCTGTTCCAGTTTGACTGCTAGGAGAGTAAACCTATTCGTATGGTTCCTATTCAACTGTCTACAGCATTCATATGCTTGGGAGAATTTATTTGTTTCTCCGGTTCGGTGATTGTGGTGTCTGCCAGAGTGCTTGGTGTCCTCAGGAAGCGCTAGGAGCATCCTTCAACGGAGGTACCCAGTCGGGGTGCCAGGCGATCCGTTACATTGGTGGCAGCGGTGGGATGGCGTCCTAGTGCGAGGTAAAGCAGCTCAGAGACACAGTTCATTTGGAGTTACAAGGTGAGGGCAACGCTAGTATCCGTACAGCGCCCCTATCTACAAAGGAACCAACGGCGGCATAGCAAGCATGGCGCCTGGCTACACTCAGGAGCGGGTTGACAGAGAGGTTGCCATGCGGTTGGCTTTCTTTGGACCCAACCCCGCTGAGGAATACGTACAGTTCGTGAGGAAATTAACAGCAGAGTACCTGCAGTTCATGGCAGATCCATCCAAAGGTATCGGCCGCCCTATCTGGTGGCAGAGTGTGCTACGGGGACTCAAAGGTGTACCCCAGGGAGCTGAAGATGTCGTCCTTCCTCCCCAGCGGCAGTGTGTACCCCAGGGAGCAGAAGGTGTTGTCCTTCCTCCCCAGCCGCAGTGTGAGTCCCATGGAGCCAAAGGTGTTGTTCTTCCTCCCCAGCGGCAGTATGTATCCCAGGGAGCTGAAGGTGTCGTCCTTCCTCCCCAGCGGCAGTGTGTACCCCAGGGAGCAGAAGGTGCTGTCCTTTCTCCCCAGCGGCAGTGTGTATCCCAGGGAGCTGAAGGTGTCGTCCTTCCTCCCCAGCGGCAGTGTGTACCCCAAGGAGCAGAAGGTGCTGTCCTTCCTCCCCAGCGGCAGTGTGTGTCCCAGGGAGCAGAAGGTGCCGTCCTCCCTCCCCAGCGGCAGTGTGTATCCCAGGGAGCAGAAGGTGCCGTCCTTCCTCCCCAGCGGCAGTGTGTATCCCAGGGAGCCAAAGGTGTCGTCCTTCCTCCCCAGCGGCAGTGTGTACCCCAGGGAGCTGAAGGTGCCGTCCTTCCTCCCCAGCGGCAGTGTGTACCCCAGGGAGCAGAAGGTGCCGTCCTTCCTCCCCAGCGGCAGTGTGTACCCCAGAAAGCAGAGACCGTCTGTCTCGCACCCCAGCCGCAGGACAAAATATTGAAAGGGGAGACAGTTGGTCCCCCTCTCCACCAGCAAAGAGTGTCAGGGAGAGGAGCAGGTTACCCCCTCTACCCAGCGGCAGTCTACAGTTCAGAGAGAGGAGCTTGTTACACCCTCTCTCCAGCGGCAGCCTAACCCACCAAGGGGAGATGTTAAGCCCCACAACTATGAAGATGGGACCGTAGTCTCTGCACTTGCAGCACCAGGGGTAGGGACGGTCGGTCCTGTCCCGCAGCCACAGAACAGTGTATCCAGAGGGGAGACAGTCGGTCTCCCCCTCCCACAACCAGGCTACTTCAGTGGTAGCGCTGGCACCCAGGCAGAGTACCGCTGGTCTCTGCCCACTCAGCAACCCACCAAGGCAGTCTACCAGCCCCCCGCACAGCCGTGGTGAGGCACCTGGACATGGACAAGTTGCTATTTTATCCAGGTGTAGTAACCAGTTATTGTGGGTGGGCTGTATTGCTGTTTGTGCTTCGTGGGTGGGTTGCTGGACTAACCAGGGCACTGACCGGCAGGAGGTCAGATACCCTGTTAGTCTGGATGGTAAAGGGGAGAAATGTGGCGAAACCGACCTCGCCACGTGTCCTTGGAGGGGGCTGCTTGCCCGCCTCTTGCCTTTGGACTATGGACCAGACTTTATGTGAATGTGTTAACCCAGATAGCTATGCCATGGAGCCCATTCGTGTAGTTAAAGACTTCGGCTCCATGGCAATTGAACTGTGTGAATAGGATCTGAGCGCTATCTGGGGATATGTGAAATGTCTGTGTGTTATGTGTAAAAGGTGACTTTATGTATTTTAAAGTGTTTTATGTCTTTTTGCAACCATGTGCTCAATGTAGTCTGCCTCCATCCCTGGATAATTGGATTACTTTCCCCCATTGTCTCCAGGATAGAGGGCTCTGTAAAACTTGTTTGAGCCAGATAGCCATGTGCCAGCCAGGGCCCAAAAGATACTTTTACTAACTTTTGAACCCCTGGTCGGATTCATGCCATTTTTTAATATGTTGTTCCCCTGAATGGATTGATTGTGAATATGTAATTTTATGTGAATGTGATGTATGGTTTTAAAGTTATGAAAGTTGGGTAGAAAGTATGTTTTAACTGTATGTGTAATTGAGTTTCCTCTCAGGATAAGGGGAGGGAATATGTGGGATGTAACTGATATGTGATTGGTTGTTTTATACCTCCCTGTGGGCGGTCCTGTATGTGAAAGGCTGTAATAAAAACCAGGCTGGGTGTGCCAGCACAGCAGTTCCTGTTTTAACCCTCAAAGTGAAGTGTCGTCTCATTATTGGTGGAAGGATTTATTGTATGCTGTTCCAGTTTGACTGCTAGGAGAGTAAACCTATTCGTATGGTTCCTATTCAACTGTCTACAGCATTCATATGCTTGGGAGAATTTATTTGTTTCTCCGGTTCGGTGTCTGCCAGAGTGCTTGGAGTCCTCAGGAAGCGCTAGGAGCATCCTTCAACGGAGGTACCCAGTTGGGGTGCCAGGCGATCCGTTACAGTGTATATATAAATACGCGGCGTGTGTGTTTCTGCTTTAGGGTGCACACCCTTATACAATAGGCTGCGCACGCCTTTGGTGAAGCGCCTAGCGTGGAGCCCTCGGTCAGTGTGAAGCACATAGCGTGGAGCCCTAAGTTAGTGTGAAGCACCTAGCGTGGAGCCCTAAGTCAGTGTGAAGCACATAGCATGGAGCCCTAAGTCAGTGTGAAGCACATAGCATGGAGCCCTAAGAGAGCCCTCGGTCAGTGTAAAGCATATAGCGTGGAGCCCTAAGAGAGCCCTCGGTCAGTGTGAAGCACATAGCGTGGAGCCCTAAGTTAGTGTGAAGCACATAGCGTGGAGCCCTCGGTCAGTGTGAAGCACATAGCGTGGAGCCCTAAGTGAGTCCTCGGTCAGTGTGAAGCACATAGCGTGGAGCCCTAAGTCAGCGTGTTATGACCTACATAAGGCTTTCCTTTTTTAATTGTACTTTTTGGGGGATTGCTAGCTAGCAAATGTTACTTAAACTTCACACCTCCGAGGGCATAACTTCTACAATTGAGCTGTCCTCCCAGTCGACATGCCTAAGTCGTAGGCCTATACCTATTGCCTACGCGTTTGTGGATGGGGCTACATTTGCATGTTTCACTCGATTATCTTCTACATTATTTTTACTAAATATCTTAAAACAAGACTGACTGCGCTATTCAGGAGTTTAGTTTATGATGTCTCTTACAAATGCTCTTTTTTAACTTTTAATATGTATTAAGTTTAATATATGCACGTTCTTGGCATAATACCTTTTATCTTGTATGGTTTTTCTGATTTACTTAAATAAAAAAATAAAAAAAACCAGAAAGATTGACAAAAACAAAAATTGTGCTGGTGTCTATGATGCCTCTATATTCTGCTAATTGTTGGCCTGATGATACTGTCCCTACTAGCCCCTTACATGGTTTCTGGAACCAACAAATCATTACCTGCGTCCAATGTTAAGCTGCCCATTATAAGAAATGCAGTGATAGCGAGACACAAACACACACAAGCCACAGGTTAAAGAACACATTTTGCTGTTTTATTGGTGCCTTGTAGGGCTTTAATACTGAAAAAGGGGAATGCGGAATCAGGATGTCGGAAACCCACGTTTTTTTTTTGTTTTTTTTATATAGAGTATATAAACTCCTGATTTTAGTTCTTTTTTTTTTTATTGTGGTATGACTGCTAAACAAAACAAAAAAAAAAACATGAAAATATACAACTTATATTACACTATGCATTATGAACAAAATATAAATCTATTACTCTATGTTATATTTACATAATTATTTCTTATTTTTATTAAATTTCAAGTGAGATGGTAGTTCGCACATACTTCACTTTCAGCTCCAGGCATTTGATTGTCTTTATTTGTTTCTAAACCCAAAATAATTTTTCAGCGAACAGGTGGGCAACAGTATAAAGGCAGCACAGCGACCAAAATACCCAGAGAAACATTATTCCCAAATACAGTGCTAAGAACAATATATATATAGAGAGATAGGTAAAACGTAATAATCCCCAGTACGTGCATTAATAGAGCACGGAACCAAGTTTGCAGATGTAAAATATAAGATATAAATAATAGAAAAAAAGATTAATCTAGGGAGATACTCTATTGGGACAACTGATGGGTTCTGATTGCAAGTCAATTAATATTAAAAGAAATATACTGCACTTTGTGGGGACAGCAGCCATTAAATGTTTCAATTGTACGTTCAGCTTGGAAAGTATTTAAACTGAACAGACCTGTATTTTTTCCCTTTAACTTGGAGACAACACTGTTTTTTTCCAGCGAGTGGCTGGGATTTGGGCTCCAGGAAGTCTTTAAAAAAAACAAAAAACAAACAACAAAATACTGCTTGCAAAAAAAAAAAAAGGGAGTTAGGGATTTAGGAAAACTAAATAACACTCCATGGACTGCATTGATGTGACGAGTTTTGCACATTAGTTCATAAAGAATGAACTATAAGGTAATCAAAAATAAAAAGTTTGCATAAAATATGGTTTAGTAGAGTTAAGAGGTAACCAGGGTCACAGGCAAACAGACACACTCCCACTGCTTGCATCAGCTGTTACCATAATGGCTATGAAGATAAATACCCCAATATCTGCCATTTCTGTGGCCTGTTGAAAGTTTTACTGATGTTGACTCTTGGACAAATCTTACAGGAAGCTAGAGCAGTTTTATAGAAGGCTCCTGAGTTATACGTATAAACACAAGTTCTATGTAACCCGGGAGCTCCATGTTTGGTGAATTATGAACAGACAGACAGAACGTCTATTTCAGCCTTTCCAGACATGCTCCTAGTTTACCGTCTTTTGAAAGGATAAAAAGTAAATGGAAAACAAATTATTGGGGTTGAATGCAATACTCCCTAGCAAACATTCTCTATAAAATTAGATTTTGGCCACAGATTGTAAAAGCATGCCAAGAAAAATATGGAACAAACAACACAGCCAAGGCATGCTTAGTCGCCCAACAGAAAAAATAACTTTTGGTGTGTTTTTATTGGAAACAACTAGGCCTGCCCTGGTGGCTCCTACCTGGAGCTTA